TCCTCTAGCGGATATCCTCGAGCGGATATCCTCGGAGCGGATATCCTCAGAGCGGATATCCTCGGAGCGGATATCCTCGAGCGGATATTCTCGGAGCGGATATCCTCCGAGCGGATATCCTCGGAGCGGATATCCTTACAGCGGATATCCTCGAGCGGAAATCCCCGTAGCGGATATCCTCGGAGCGAATATCCTCGGGGCGGATATCCTCGAGCGGATATCCTCGGGGCGGATATCCTCGAGTGGATATCCTCGAACGAATATCCTCGAAGCGGATATCCTCGGAGCGGATATCCTCGGAGCGGATATCTTCGGAACGGATATCCTCGGAGTGGATATTTTCGGAGCGGATATCCTCGAGCGGATATCCTCGGAGCGGATATCCTCGAGCGGATATCCTCGGAGCGGATATCCTCGAGCGAATATCCTCGGAGCGGATATCCTCGAGCGGATATCCCGGAGCGGATATCCTCGGGCCGATATCCTCGAGCGGATATCCTCGGGCGGATATCTTCGTGCGGATGTCCTCGAGCGGATATCCTCGAGCGGATATCCTCGGAGCGGATATCCTCGGGCGGAAATCCTCGGGCGGATATCCTCGGGCGGATATCCTCTCGCGGATATCCTCTCGCGGATATCCTCGGGCGGAAATCCTTGGGCGGATATCCTCGGGCGGATATCCTCTCGCGGATATCCTCTCGCGGATATCCTCGGAGCGGATATCCTCGGAGCGGATATCCTCGGAGCGGATATCCTCGGAACGGATATCCTCGAGCGGATATCCTCGAGCGGATATCCTCGGGCGATTATCCTCGTGCGGATATCCTCGAGCGGATGTCCTCGCGCGGATATCCTCGGGCGGATATCCTCGCGCGGATATCCTCGGGCGGATATCATCTGTGCGGATATCCTCGCGCGGATTTCCTCGGTCGGATATCTTCGAGCGGATATCCTCGTGTGGATATCCTCGCGCGGATATCTTCGGGCGGATATCCTCGTGCGGATATCCTAGGAGCGGATATCCTCGAGCGGATATCCTCGAAGCGAATATCCTCGAGCCGATATCCTCGAGAGGATATCCTCGAGCGGATATCCTCAGGCGGATATCCTCGGAGCGGATATCCTCGAGCGGATATCCTCGAGCAGATATCCTCGAGCAGATATCCTCGGAGGATATCGTCGAGCGGATATCCTCGGAGCGGATATCCTCGGGGCGGATATCCTCGAGCGGATATCCTCGGAGCGGAAATCTTCGGAGCGCATATCCTCGAGCGGATATACTCGAGCGGATATCCTCGAGCGGATATCCTCGAGCGGATATCCTCGAGCGGATATCCTCGGAGCGGATATCCTCGGAGCGGATATCCTCAGAGCGGATATCCTCGAGCGGATATCCTCGAAGCGGATATCCTCGAGCGGATATTCTCGAGCGGATATCCTCGGAGCGGATATCCTCGAGCGGATATCCTCAGAGTGGATATCTTCGGAGCGGATATCCTCGGGGCGGATATCTTCGGAGCGGATATCCTGGAGCGGATATTCTCAAGCGGATATCCTCAGAGCGGATATCCTCGGAGCGGATATCCTCGAGCGGATATCCTCGAGCAGATATCCTCAAGCAGATATCGTCGAGGGGATATCCTCGAGCGGATATCCTCAGAGCGGATATCCTCGGAGCGGATATCCTCGAGCGGATTTCTTCGGAGCGGCCTCGTAGCGGATATCCTCGGAGCGGATATCTCGAGCTGATATCCTCGAGCGGATATCCTCAGACGGATATCCCCGAACGGATATCCTCGGAGCGTATATCCTCGTAGCGGATATCCTCGGAGCGGATATCCTCGAGCGGATATCCTCCGAGCAGATTTCCTCGGAGCAGATATCCTCGGAGCGTATATCCTCAGAGCGGATATCATTGGATCGGATATCCTCGTAGCGGATATCCTCTGAGCATATATCCTCGAGCGGATATCCTCGAGCAGATATCCTCGAGCGGATATCGTCGAGCGGATATCCTCGGAGCGGATATCCTCGGGGCGGATTTCCTCGGAGCGGATATCCTCGGAGCGGATATCCTCGAGCGGATATCCTCGGATCGGATATCTTCGGAGCGGATATCCTCGAGCGGATATACTCGAGCGGATATCCTCGGAGCGGATATCCTCGGAGCGGATATCCTCGGAGCGGATATCCTCGGAGCGGATATCCTCGAGCGGATATCCTCGGAGCGGATATCCTCGAGCGGATATTCTCGAGCGGATATCCTCGGAGCGGATATCCTTGAGCGGATATCCTCGGAGTGGATATCTTCGGAGCGGATATCCTCGGGGCGGATATCTTCGGAGCGGATATCCTCAAGCGGATATCCTCAAGCGGATATCCTCAGAGCGGATATCCTCGGAGCGGATATCCTCGAGCGGATATCGTCGAGGGGATATCCTTGAGCGGATATCCTCAGAGCGGATATCCTCGGAGCGGATATCCTCGAGCGGATATCTTCGGAGCGGCCTCGGAGCGGATATCCTCGGAGCGGATATCTCGAGCTGATATCCTCGAGCGGATATCCTCAGACGGATATCCCCGAACGGATATCCTCGGAGCGGATATCCTCGTAGCGGATATCCTCGGAGCGGATATCCTCGAGCGGATATCCTCGGAGCAGATATCCTCGGAGCGTATATCCTCAGAGCGGATATCATTGGATCGGATATCCTCGTAGCGGATATCCTCGGAGTGTATATCCTCGAGCGGATATCCTCGAGCGGATATCCTCGGAGCGGATATCCTCTTAGCGGATATCCTCGAGCGGATATCCTCGGAGCGGATATCCTCGGAGAGGATATCCTCGAAGCGGATATCCTCGAGCGGATATCCTCCTTGCGGATATCCTCGAGCGGATATCCTCGGAGCGGATATCCTCAGAGCGGATATCCTCGAGCGAATATCTTCCAGCGGATATCCTCGGAGCGGATATCCTCGAGCGGATATGTTCGAGCGGATATCCTCGAGCGGATATCCTCGAGAGGATATCCTCGAGCGGATTTCCTCGGGCGGATATCCTCAAGAGGATATCCTCCGAGCGGATATCCTCCAAGAGGATATCCTCCGAGCGGATATCCTCGGAGGATATGCTCCAGCGGATAACCTCGAGCGGATATCCTCGAACGGATATCCTCGGGCAGATATCCTCGAGCGGATATCCTCGAGCGGATATATTCGGAGCGGATATCCTCGGACGGATATCCTCGGGCGGATATCCTCGGAGCGGATATCCTCGGACCGGATATCCTCGGAGCGGATATCCTCGAGCGGATATCTTCGGAGCGGATATCCTCTAGCGGATATCCTCGGAGCGGATATCCTCGCGCGGATATCCTCGGGCGGATATTCTCGAAGCGGATATCCTCGGGCGGATATCCTCGAGCGGATATCCTCGGGCGGATATCCTCGAGCGGGTATCCTCGAGCGGATATCCTCGAGCGGATATCCTCGGGCGGATATCCTCGTGCGGATATCCTCGAGCGGATATCCTCGAGCGGATATCCTCGTAGCGGATTTCTTCGGGCGGATATCCTCGGGCGGATATCCTCTGGCGGATATCCTCGGACGGATATTCTCGGAGCAGATATCCTCGGAGCGGATATCCTCGAGCGGATATCCTCGGATCGGATATCCTCGGAGCGGATATCCTCGGAGCGGATATCCTCGGAGCGGATATCCTCGAGCGGATATTCTCGGGCGGATATCCTCGAGCGGATATCCTCGAGCGGATATCCTCGGGCGGATATCCTCGAGCGGATATCCTCGGAGTGGCCTCGGAGCGGATATCCTCGGAGCGGATATTCTCGAGCGGATATCCTCGGAGCGGATATCCTCGGGCGGATATCCTCGGGCGGGTATCCTCGGGCGGATATCCTCGGAGCACTGCAGCTGAGGGTGGGAGCACTGCAGCTGAGGGTGGGAGCACAGCAGCTGAGGGTCCGAGCAACATAGCTGAGGGTGGCGAGCATACGGTATGTTCAGGGAGCGTGTACCTACGGCCTCTTATCAAAAAATCTTCTTGTTAGACTTGCATCGCACCGCTCTGTAACGCACATAATGACATTCAATTGCACTGAAAAGCGTTGAACCGCACCAGTCCGACAAGAGGTGCGTGACGCGTCTGATAAGAGGTGTAGGAACATGCGCTTACGATTATCACAGAATTGGTGGCAAATTTGCAATGCACCACACTGGGAAGAGACAGGTGCAAATTAATTACAGTTACACTTGAGGCCATCCTATCTAATTCAACCCTTTGATCCGCTAACGTATCCTGCTACGACCATCATTCTCTCCCATGTCAAGACTAACGCCAAACCAAGGAAAACGACCAAACCCAACACATCGGGCTGTGGAACCACCCTCAGCAAAAACCTAGGTAGGTTACATCATGTCTATCACCTAGGCAGCACCCTATTCCCATACATGCGGCAATAAGTTTTTTCCACTCCTACTAGGGTATTGTAACTTTGTAATTAAACCAAGGAATCCTTCTGTGCTCCATCTCCCCCCAAGATCTCATCTAACTGGAACAGTCCCGCCCAGAGCAGCCCCTTATGTGCCAACTTCGGCCTCACACTACCAGCAGCAGTGGTGCTGCTGCCACTAGCTTACCCCCTCCCCCTCCCCCCCCCCCCCCCTTCCCCTACCACAACTCTTGCCATGGTACTTGTTGGAACTTGGGAAATCATCCCGTCTATGGTCAAATGTATTGAGGTGTTCAAACTCCCTCCGTGAGTTGACTCGAAATCACAACCAACACAGCTTGGTACCTCCAGCCAATAACCCCCAATCCGTCTTCCAATCTCCCTCCCCCTCCCGTCACTTAGCCTTGCCCCAAATCAGCCCGCCGTGAGCAACACAGAAGGGCGCCAGCACCAGCGACTCCACAACCAGCTTATGCCCCATACAACCAGCACACACTCCAGTTGCCCCCCCCCCCCTCCCCCCCGGTCCCCTCACGTGGACTTGCCCCAAATGAGCCCGCCATGCGCCACGAAGAAAGGCGCCAGCACCAGCGACTCCACAGCCATCAGCTTAATCAGAATATTCAGCGACGGCCCAGATGTATCCTTGAGAGGATCCCCCACCGTATCCCCAATCACCGCTGCCTTGTGCGCCTCTGAACCCTTCGGTCCCAGCGACTGCGCGTGCTCTGACATCCCCGCTTCGATGTATTTCTTCGCGTTGTCCCACGCGCCGCCCGTGTTACTAGCCGATACCGCCATCTGTACCCCAGACACCAGCGCTCCTGCTAGGAGCCCTGCCAGCGTTGCCGTCCCGAAGAGAACCCCCGTGATGATTGGCGCGAGGAGCACGAGCGCGCCAGGTGGCAGCATTTCATTGAGCGACGCCTTGGTGGAGATCTGCACGCACTTGTGGTAGTCAGGGCGCGCGGTGCCCTCCATGAGGCCCGGGATGGTGTCAAACTGCCGCCGCACCTCGTCCACCATGGCTAGAGCGGCCTTGCCGACGCTCTTCATGGTCATGGCGCTGAACCAGTATGGCAGCATGGCGCCCACCAGCAGCCCAACAAATGTCTGGGGGAAAGGGAGAGGTGGAAGCAAGAAGGGAAGGGAAGAAGAGGGGAAATGAGGGATGTTCAGTATGCAAGCTGCCTTGCCAACGCTCTTCATGGTCATGGCACTGAACCAGTACGGCAGCGTGGCGCCCACCAGCAGCCCCACGAACGTCTGCAGAGAGGGGGGAGAGGAGGGAAGGGAATGGAAACAAGTTGCAGTGGTGCGCGTGTGGTGTGGTGAGAGCCTGTAAGGCGGCGGTGTGGTTTAAAAGCAGTGGCGGGCGGTGGTGAGCCATGAGAGGAGCAGCCCTACGCACCTGAGGGTTGGTGATGAGGATGTTGGTGACCTGTGCGCGGCTCACATACGCTCCAAACAGAGCGAGTGACACCAACGCTGCTGACCCGATGGCAAAGCCCTGCAGGCGATGGGGGAGGGGGAGGCGGGAGAGGACAGGGAATTGGCATTGAAAGAGATGTGTGGGGGTTTCGGAAGGGGGAAGTGTGACATGGTTGTACCAAGATGGAAGAGTTTAGTGAAACGGGAGTGGGGCAGTGAAACGGAAATGGGGCAGTGAGACAGGGGTAGGTAGTGAGGCGGGGGTCGGGTAAAGAGAGGGGGTAATGCACTAAGATTATCCTACGCACACCTTGCCGATGGCAGCAGTGGTGTTCCCAGCAGAGTCCAGCGCATCCGTCCTCTCCCTCACATCCGCCCCCAGCCCCTCTGTCTCTAAGGGTTAGGCACTAATTCTCCCTTCCTAACACGCACCTTGCCAATGGCAGCAGTGGTGTTCCCAGCAGAGTCCAGCGCATCCGTCCGCTCCCTCACATCCGCCCCAAGCCCTGCCATCTCCGCAATCCCCCCGGCATTGTCCGAGATCGGCCCGTACGCGTCGATAGCGAGCCCAGTAGCGAGCGTGGAGAGCATGCCCAGGGCGGCCAGCGCGACCCCGTACATGGCGGCGATGGCATAGCTGATGTAGATGGCCACGGCGATGGCAAAGACGGGCACGACTACGGACTTGTAGCCCAGGGCTAGCCCGAAGATGATGTTCGTGGCTGCCCCCGTGCGGCACGAGTCTGCCACGTCCCTTACGGGCCTGTTGGGGTTGGGGGGGAGGATGGGACGGGGGGGCGAGGGGGGTGGAGGATGGAAGATGAGGGAGGGAAGGGTAGGGCGAGGAAGCGGATAAGGAATGGTGGGAAGGGGGAAAGAGTGGAGGGAAGGTGGCGGGTTAGCTTTGAGAATATCCAAAAGTGGCACTCACAAGTAAGCGTGGCTGGTGAAATACTCGGTGACATAGCCAATCAGCAGCCCGCCCCACAGTACACGCATAGAGCATGGGTGGTGACAGGTACCCAAGACTCAAACACTCACGAGTAGGCATGGCTGGTGAAGTACTCAGTGACATAGCCAATGAGCAACCCGCCCCACAGCCCCGAGGCCACACAGAAAAATATCTGCCAGTTCTGCGCCGTCTTATCCGCCTCCTCCCCCGCCACCACGATCGTGAACGAGGACGGCAGCGCGAGATAGCACAGCCCCAGCACGAGCGGCGTCATGAGCACCGTGCTGATGAGCAGCTGCGCCTTGAGCTGCGGCTCCACATGCCGGGCCTCGGTGACGTGGAACCAGTCGGTGGCAAAGAGCGTGGTGAAGAGGCACACGAGGATGCCGAGCGCGGAGACGAGCAGCGGGAAGCACATGGCGGTGAAGTTGTGCGTCTGGCCCAGGGAGGAGATGGACGCGATCACGAGGGCTGCGCAGGTGGACTCTGCGAAGGAACCGAAGAGGTCCGAGCCCATGCCTGCTATGTCCCCCACATTGTCGCCCACGTTGTCTGCGATAACCTGGTGTTGGAACCAGGAGGGGAGAGGTGGGATGGGAGGGGGAAGGGGAAGAGTGGGGAGAGAATAATGAGTGAAGTGTGCAAGGGGTGGAGCCAAAGAGGTCGGAGCCCATGCCTGCTATGTCACCGACGTTATCGCCCACGTTGTCCGCGATAACCTGCACAGGAAGCACGTGTGGGAAAGCATGGAAAGGGGAGGATGGAGGGGGGACGTTGGTTGCCTAAACTTCTTTCTGCCTCATGCCATTTTGCAGCTTGGTTCTCACACTGAATTCCGATGCCATTTCGCAGACCGTTCTTTCCCACCTCCCTCAAGACATGTCCTCTAGTGCCACAAAACACCCACCCACCAGGGGTACACCTCATAAACTCACCGCTGGGTTCCTTGGGTCGTCTTCCGGGATGCCCCTCTCCACCTTCCCCACCAGATCCGCGCCCACGTCCGCCGCCTTGGTGTAAATCCCCCCGCCCACGCGCCCAAACAGCGCCACGCTGGAGCCGCCCAGCCCGTACCCCGTGATGGTCTCGAAGAGCGACGCCCAGTCGTTGCCGTAGTAGAGGCGGAAGAGCACAATGGTGATGAACAGCACGATCAGCCCGTTGGCTGCGAGAAGAAAGCCCATTACTGCGCCCGACCGGAACGCCACCACGAAGGCTGGGCCGATTCCGCGCCGTGCCTCCACTGTCGTGCGCGCGTTCGCGTCTGGAGGGAGGAGGACGGGCGTTTGGGAAGGGAGGGAACGAGTGAGCGGTAAGGTGGGAGCTCAAGTGGAGGGCTGAGGAGCAGGATGGTGATGGTCTCGAAGAGAGAGGGAATGACGGAAAGTAACGTACAGGTGGCGATCTTCATTCCCAGGTATCCGGAGAGAGTGGACGTGAGCGCGCCGAGAATAAACGCGACGGTGGTGAAGAAAGCGTTGGCGAGCGAGGGCGCGCAGAGCTGCGAGGGGTTGTCTCTGCACGGCTGCCACGACGTGCTGAAGGAGTTGACGGAGCCGAGGAAGAGGAAGATGAGCACGCTGAAGAACGCCATGAATACCGCTAGGTACTTGTACTCCGTTGTTAGGAACGACGTCGCGCCTGCGGGAGTGAATGAGGGCGGGAGTGAATGAGGGAGGGAGGGGGAAGAGGAAGAGGAAGACGAGGACGCTGAAGAAGGTTCATACATGCCGCTAGGTACTTGTACTCCGTTGCTAGGAATGACTTCGCGCCTGCGGGAGTGCGGGAGGGAGGAGGAAAGGGAGGGGAACTGGGAAGAGTGCTACGAACGATGCCAGGCACTTGAACGCTGGTGTAACAAATTTCGTCGGGCATGGATTTGGGGGAAGTGTAGGAGGAGGGAGAGGAATGAGACGGATGGCATGGGATAATGTTGTGGATGAACGCGGATAAGTGGCACGGATAGACCACATGGATGAAACGCGGGTTGCAACGCAAGGACGAAACGCATGAAATGTCGAAAATCCGGCACTGATGAGCACCATGAGCGGAATGGCTACAAGCAATGACTTTGATAGATGAGCAGCGTATATGTACAGCTTACATTGTTAGAGAATGGATATGGCAGCCATGTGTCAAGTGTGCCGCCAATAGCCGATATGTACATTCGCATCATACTCTACATAAAGACTTGCTAGAACGTGACTTCTGGTGCACAACATAGATTAAGAAGCGGGAATCATGCAATAAGAAGAGCAACGGGCCTTATCCTACTGCATTCTGACACCCCGTTAGTTAACCTGGCTATACCAGGGAGAGTAAGAGGATGTGTAGCGTTACACAGCCAGTGACACGGGAAGATAAATTTGCGATCTTGCAGACGAAAAGCTACGAGACATTCACACTTAATCGGCCTAAGAAAATTCTACGCAAAAGGGTGAACCGCACGGACGCCGAGCACCGTCGGATCAAGTCTACCGTCATAGACATTTGCATAGCTGCACGGACTTCTTCAAACGTAGCTAACCTATCAGGACGTACGCACCCGTGGAAATGGCATGTTGAATCTCGGCGATCTGCTGGTCCACGTTATCCGACTGTCCATCCTCCAATCCGTACACACTCAACGGCGCTGTCAGCTTCACCCGGCTTACGACACCCCATTGGTAGAGAGCGAACGCTATACCTAGAGCCGCCGACAGTGGAATAAAGATGTCGACGAACGTCTCGCTTAATGTGGTCTCCATGTTCCAAGTCTCTGCGATTACTCCAGTAATCGCCTCGGACATGAATTATGATGAGCGTGTTGCATATAAGTAAGCCCTACAAGTTCCTATGTGACAGCAGACCACGATGCAAGAAACTGGCTTCAATGCCTTGGCTTTGATTAGCCAGCTTATGGAGAGAAGAGAAGTAGTGACACTTAGGGAGAGAAGAAGTGAGCTAGAGGAGACCAATAATTGTATATACTAATGCCGCTAGACTCGGCTCATCTGCGGGAATCCTGATGAACCCCCCTTGCCTGGAAATTCAACGAGTGGCGCAAAAAGCGGTAACGCACTGTCCCGCACTATGAAACCTAGAAAACACACTGCACCTTTCAAGATGAAATAATCTCGAAGATCCATCAGAACGAGAATTTGACGAGGCACGGCACCTCAATCCTTCAGATCAAGTTTATTGGACGGCTAGATGTCTGAAGCAGGATCCTGGAGATGTGGCTGCAGTGCCGTCAGATCTGTGACCACCTGACCTGACCTCACCTGAGCCCCACATCAGGAGTTCGCTGGATTGATGGAGGGGCAAACCTGGGAATTCGGCAGCTCACATGCTTGACCAAGCACATTGGAAGTATTGGCGTCAAATATAAATAGCGCAGATATACACGCAATAGCATTTTAACAAGGGGTTCCTTATACGTTATATTCCTCTTTATTGCTCAAACCTCCTTCCCGGCGTAAATATATGACGTAATACTACAATATCAGCCATATTTATCCTAAAATCTTAATCATCAATCATAACCATTATGTACAAATTTTTAGATCACATGGTTATAAAGGCACGTGGAACTAGGAGATAAAATATTGCTTAGCATTCAGTATTGTGCGTGGGTATAATTGTTGAACCCGTAAGGAATGTTCTTATGGAGATTATGACAATCTGCGGTGGAGCAGATCTCCATAACTTGTGGAGGAACTAGCAGTTGTCTCTGTTCTTACTGGTCAGAGCCCCTGAATTCTTTGCAACTGTAGTTTGTTATGCGCGCCGTTGAGTTTGCAGAATTTCCGTCAACTCCTGCCAAACTGATCAGCAGAGGGGCGGTTCAGCCCCAGTGGCGCTGGCGGCGACAGGCTTGTGCGACATGTCCTGGTGATGCTTTCGGCGCCGCGAACATTGTGGAGAGCATTTTCTCTCCCAAGTTCCAGTGCCACGTAACGGCTGGCCCTTTCACTTTACGCCACGTGTAATACCACGTGGTAAAAGCAGCCTCTTCGCTGACGCTGATGGTCACTCATCTGCCAAGCCTAGCTGGAACAAAACCCCATCAGGTCAGCGGCAGCCCCTCCCTGCGACAACAGCATCCTGCGAAGAGCAAGCCCGACCACGAACACAGCGATTGGTTTCAAATGCCATTCGCAATGAGATTCTGCGACATTCATATCAAAAATCATCCGTCGGATCCAGATGCGACGATTTCTTGATGCATCTGTGGTCCCTCCTCCCGCATCGCCATTCCCCTTCATAAATCAAATTCAGCCGCAGAATGCCACACTCAAATTCACTTTGCTGTTTCAGCCTCAGATTCACCTCCTTGAGGCACTTTGGACAGCTCTGGTCCTCCTGAAGTGCTCCATACATCAGTGTATGTAGCTCCTGTTTTGTATATTGATCGGCTTCAGCTGAAGGGTTTTTGAAAGAACCCACTGAGTCGGTCGAATTCCTTCCATTACGGTATCGCAAAACTTCAACTGGTGAATCCCTTACGTAAACGAATAATCATGAAGGTCCTACTTTTCGTCGCCATCATCACGGTTCTCGCCATCCCAACACTCGCGCTGGATAGCTCATTCTCGTCAGAAACGACTCTCGCCAGGCGAGGTCAACAAGACAACTACATTCGGCCGCCGCATCAGTTTACGGACCGGCCTGTCATCGGCGTGCTCACTCTCCCGATCACCGTTCCGTCGCAGCGGAAGATCGGCGTGTCGTCGTTCGCCACGTCGTACCAGCGATGGATCGAGGCTGGCGGCGCGCGCGTGGTACCGATATTCTACGACTCGACCAAGGAGGAGCTCGACTTCATTCTTAATAGGTGAGACTTCGTCGAATCTGGTTGAGTAATCTACACTGATCGATTCCAATCCTTGAGTCGGTCACAAGCACTTTTAACTCATCATTAATTGTCACAGATCAAGCCGATATCACATTTTCTGACTTGGGCCATTCTAGTGTGTGAGTCATAATCAGTAACGTGTCAATCTAGCCTTCAACAAAGAAGGAAGAGTTTTTAAGAATTTCGTCACATTCTCCTCGCCTCAGTTACCTCAATGTCCGATGCGTGCGTGCGTGGTTCAGAATCAACGGCGTGTTCTGGACGGGAGGGCTGGTGGACTTCAATCCGACGGAGGAGGATCCCGAGGGCTCCAAGTACCTAGCGACGACGGAGTACGTGTGGAAGCACGCGGTGAAGGAGAACAGCAACGGCAACTACTACCCGCTCTGGGGCACCTGCCTCGGCTTCGAGCGCATGTTCCAGGTCAGTGCGATGTTCCAGTTTTGTGGGATGTTACGAGTCAGTGCGACGTTTGACAAACAACAGCTACACTGGCTTGCGTGCTCCAGTAACCGTAATGAACGAGGTTCTCAACTATAATCGAGATTTCATCCCTCCCATGTCCCCCACTCACTCCCAACTTGGCAGCTGTTCGCTAACGACGTGAACGGGACCTTGATTCGCGAAGTCGACGCGGAGAATTTCGCCATCAACCTCGGGTTCACCGCGGACGGGTGGCTGTCGCGGCTGTTCGGCGGGATGAGCTACGAACTCTTCAAGCAGGTCGCGTCGCCCCTCGGGGACCTCGCGTTCAACAACCACGGGTTGGGTGTACATCCGGACGACTTTCGCGCGTCGCCAGCGCACGAAGTGTTTCGCATCCTGTCCGTTGACGAGGATCGCAACGGCACGCAGTTCGTGTCCACGGTGGAAGGCAGGCATTTCCCGTTCTACGGGTCGCAGTGGCATCCCGAGAAGGCCCCTTGGGAGTGGAACCCCAAGCACGAAATCGCCCATAACGAGGTAAGACGCCTGATCACACCCTAGATGATGAAAGCGCTTCCCAGCCTCACGTCATTCCCAACTCCCTTTGGTCCTTTTCTCTTTGCTTCTCCCATTTTCCGTATCCTCTTTTACTTGGTCCTTTTTCTCTTTACTTCTCCCATTTTCCCTGTCCTTGTCCCATTTTCCTTATACCCGACCTCACTTCTGTGAAACCCAGAACCATCCTTGTACCCTTGTGACTTGACACGGCAGTGGAAACACTGAATCTCCTCAAAGGCCCTCCCACATCTGCCCTCTATGCTGCACAAGTCTAGATGACCCGCATCTTGAATTACTCCTCACACTTCTTCCTTTCCCCTTCCCTCGTCTCCCACCCTCTCTTCTCCGCCTTCTCCCCCTGGTTATCTCGCAGTGGGCCGGCACGTTTTCCAACTATCTCGGCCGTTACTTTGTAACGGAGTGCAAGTACAACAAGAACCAGTTCGAAAGCGAGTACGAACTATCCAAATACCTCGTCGAGAACTGGCCTGCCCGTCCCACGGGTAAATTCCACAAGATATTCAGCGCGTACTCGCAAATCACCTTCTTCCCGTCGCACAAGCCGATGTGGGTGCAGAGGGTAGAGGCATTGGAAGCCGAGGGGGTCACAGTGAGCGAGGAGCAAGCTGCTGAGATGATGCTGATGACTGGCATGTGATGGTGATTGGGATGCTGATGCTTCTTGAGGCACCTCAAAAGGCCGAGGGGGGTACAGTGGGCGAGGAGCAAGCAGCCGAGATCATGGTGGGGGTCGACATGTGATGGTGATTGGATGCGGATGCTGGTGCTGATGCTGGTACTGACATGTAAACGGCTGAGGGGATTGCAGTAGGTTACGAGCGAGCCATGAGATGTGATGTTGACGGTGGGGGATGTGCTTCTTTTAGCTCTAGCCGCTCAGCTACTCGCCTCAACGAGGGGAGGAGGGGTGAAAGGGTGGGCTGTAGGTTACTGGAGCCGAAGGAGGGGTATCCGAGTTACCTCTAGAAGTACAATTGTCAGCTGCAATTGGCAGCTGACAGCATGCGAAGCATGTCTGCTATGAGATTATGCAGCACCACTGCATCAGGGTTTCTGGTACAGCCAGTTCGTAAGGATCTCACCCAGCTATTTCCCCTGCAATAGTGCACCAGTGTAACATCTACTTTTATACAAGTCTACTATGTATGGTATTACTCTTCTCAGCTAATATGGTCCAGAATATACACTGCAGTCGTCACCCACAGGCATATCTCACTGCGCAGAAAGCATGGGAAGGGAGTAGAAGATGAAAGGCATGATTGATTGCTTGTTTCTGACACGTGCTGAGTAAACTTCAAGAGGGAGAATGTAAGGATGGGTAAAGTCTATGAGTGAGGACGTAAGGCTGGGTAGACTCTTGAGTGAACATTGCCAGGAAGCATGATCTGTACTATGAGTATGATTTCTTCCTGTGCAATTGCAGCTCAGCTCCTTTGTCAGCCAGCAATAATTTACCCCAGTAAGGGGCATTTGCGTGGAGATATTACAATAAATACCGTCATATTTTCAAAAGCATACCATAGATAACAGTGCAAGCACACCATGTACGATTAGTGGTGAAACATTGCTGGTTTCACTTAGCAGGCGGAGGGAGGGTGTAGAGAAGGTAGTGAATGAAAGCCTCCCCCACCTTCCCCACCATCGCATCGGCATTGCCCTCGCTCACTTCAACCACGTTCAAGGTAGCAACGTGCGTAAATCAGCCGGCTTGCTTAGCAGGAGGAGGGAGGGTGTAGAGAAGGTAGTGGATGAACGCCCTCACATGCGCCTCCCCCACCTCCCCCACCACCGCATCCCCGTCATCTGTTGCAACCACCATCGAGTAGTGGTGGTCATCGGGAACAGCCGTGTCAAGGTACCGAGGCGCGTCGATTTGCCACGTGTCCAGAATCGTGGCTGCTCCTGCCGGTATTTCAGTGTCGCCCCCCTCCTCGCCTGCTGCTGTGCCTGCTGCTGTGCCTGCTGCTTCCCCTTCTGCACTTTCAGAATCGGTGTAAAAATCTGTGCCTCCTGTACTTCTTGAGTCTGTCAAATTCCTTCCACCAGCTACCTCCTGCAAGTTCCCTTGAGCCGCCTCAGCAGATGAATCTCGAAGCACGTCGTTCCCCCCCACATGAGATCCTCGTTCCAACTCTTCACGTGGTAGCATTTGCAAGCTCTCGTCCAGGTCCTGCCAAGCCACACCCTCCCCTCCACCCTCCCCTCTTCCCCCTCTTCCCCCTCCCCCTGTGCGCCCTTCTCCTCTCCTGGGTTCCCCAAGCACGATTCGCTTCAAGAGCGCATTCACAGCCATGCCCGCTCTATTCGTTCTCGGGCCGGTGTACCGATTACACGAGTCCCACCTCACCGCAAACGAGGGGATAGTGCGGAAAACCACCCGGCCTTTTCCGGGCGCAACGGCGGAAATGCCCCAGCGCACAAACTCACGCAGGTACACCCGAAGGGCTTTAAGAGGCTGCTTGCAGAAAGATGCGCCCCAGTAGCCTCCTTCAAAGAGGGTGACGTCAGCAGTGGATGAGATGTTGGGGTATTGAGTCTCTCTCCTGGTTGTAATGCCACGATGGCTGGTGAGAGGGGAGAGGAAAAAGGGAAAGGGAGAAAATGAGAAGGGAAGGGGAAGGGGAAGGGGAAGGGGAAGGGGAAGGGGATGGGGATGGGGATGGGGATAGGGACGGAAGAAAGATCCAGGGGATAAGAAACACCCCGGCGAGAAATACTGCTTACAATACACGATCAGTGTGCAACCCAAATCACATCCCCCAAGACATCCCTTCCTCCATTCATTCAGCCACCCACCAAAAAAAAAAAAAAAAAAAAAAAAAAGGGGAAACAACTCACCTGCATCCGAACTTCCCATTACTGTAGATCCCATCGATCCAGTAAAAGTTTATCTTCAGCTCCCTCCCCTCTCCATCCTCCGCCGTATAAAACAAATTATCCCGCCACTTTTTCATTCTCATGTCCGCCCGGCCCGTGAGCAGGTAGTACAAGTGCGCTGTTAAAAACCTTTGGTGCGAATCCCCTACGATGCTAATCTCCCGAATGCCCCTCTGCTCCAAAGCAGCAATCCAACGGCTAGCAGGCAACTCCTTGTGCGTGCAGAAGAACGGTTCCCAGCGGTACAAACCGTTTCTCATCTTCCACCGGGCCGGGACCGAAGCTCCGATGCAGGGGCTGCTGGGAAGATCGGAGTCTGGTTCGGGATAGGCTTGGGACGGGCTGCTGCCTTGTTGAGGAAGGGAGAGGCGGGTCTGCTGTGCTTGTGCGGTGGAGTTGGGTGCAGTGCGGGGCAGAACGGTGAGGGGCCAGGAGACTAGGTCGTGTTGGGCTGTCTTGTTGAGGTGGAGGTAGTAGAGAGGTGAAAAGCGAAGGTTGGCGCAGCCTATGTGCATCGTGGCCCTGCGAGGGGAAATGGAGAGATGGAGAGAGATGGAGAGAGGTGAGGAGAGGTGAGGAGAGGTGAGGAGCGGCGAGAAGCGCAAGTTGGCGCAGCCTATGTGCACCACAGCCGGTGCGTCATATTGCTCTCCCTGCAGCGCGGGGGATCCCAGCACCTCATGGTACCCCTCACTACTCCCCCGTCCCCACCCAAACCTCCCCCAACTGTTCCCCACCGCACGGCACCCTTCTGCACTCACAGGTATTCCCCTCCATCCCACGGGCGGTAAGTCACTCTCATCTCCCTGCAGCGCGGGGGATCAAGGCAGCGCACTTCCCCATCCCCACCTAAACACTCCCCCAACCATTCCCCACCGCACAGAATCCTTCTGAACTCACAAGTACTCTCCTCCATCCCACAGGCGGTAAGTCACTCTCATCTCCCTGCAGTGCGGGGGATCAAGGCAGCGCACGTCCCCCGCGCCCATGGCGGCTCCGCGCATGGTAACAGTCACGTCGCGCTTCCACCACCCGCGCTTCGTCGTCTGCAGCACCCCCTCCGCCCACTGCGCGGGCGCGCGCACGGACAGGCGGAATGAGCAGCGCTGCCCGCGGATGCACGTGGCGCAGCCGCGCCCGTGAATGGTGACCCCCGGGGGGGAGGGTGAGGAGTAGTCTGCGGAGGGAGTGGGGGAGCCGGGGGGGGGGGAGGGTGGGGGGAGAGAATGGCATGAGGCGCGCGCGCGGCGACATGCACAAGCTTGTCCCTAATTTGGGAGAGGCAGCCGGAGCTTTAGATGATTACGAGCATCCGCGCGAGCATGGGAGCGGGCATGAGTGGGAGCATGAGTGGGAGCATGAGTTCGAGCATCACTCCGCCTCACCTCCCGACGATGTCCAGCACACGTGCTCCCGCTGCTCCTGCTGCGGCCGTGCGTCATTCCCGCCGCCATTCTCGTCGCCATTCCCGCCGCCATTCCCGTAGCTGAGATCACCATACAGACCTCCGACCCCCTCCCCCTCACTTAACTCCACTCCCAAATTCTCCGCCCCTGATTCCGCGTACCCTCCGCGCCCGCCGTACCCCAGAGCCAGAACTTTCCGCAGATTCCCCAGTGAACGGTTCCCCCAAATCTCCCCCCAACCCTTCCCCCATCCCCCCAAGGCGGAACCCCGCGCCGACACTTCCCGTGCAGATGCACCTTCCGCGCGCGCGGCTTCCCCCGCTCCGATATCCGCCGAGTCCACCCAGTTTTGCGGTGCGGATCGTGCTATAACGAGTAAAAATAGTAATGCGTTGACAGCTAGCAGCATAAAGTGGAACCAGTCCATGCCGCCGTGCGTGCTTCTATGGCTTCTGCTCCCCTTGTTTGAAGAACCTCCCGACTTGGTAGTCTCAAACGCGGACAGAGGACTCGATATAAGGCGAATGATGGGAGAATATACGCCAACGAAGAAAGAACGTATTGACGAAGACGAACCGCTTGAGCCGCTGGGAACGCGCGAGACGGCATCGGCTGGTGCTTTCAACGTTTGAAGAGCCTCAATATTCGACGAGGAGGAGACTTCCAAGCCGGGAACGCGCAAAATGGCATCGGCTGGTGGTTTCAGGCCGACAAGACTGTCAGTCGCGTCGGTTTCTGGGAGTTTGTCCATGGATTCCAATGCTGTCGGCTCCGTCCGCTTACCGTCAACGTTCCGTTAGCGACTGTCGCGTCGGCTAAATACAGAGAGTGAGAGATGTATCGCTGATAAGGAATAGTAAGTGCTTTAGTTGTCTTCGAGGAAACGCAATCTTATGGTGTTAAGGCTGCTTGCAAACGAGGAGGGCGAACAAGCTGTTTTACAGCGACTCACATAAACTGGCACAGATAGCGAAACTGAGAACGGCAAATGAAACTCGTGGAATCAGTTGAAGAGCAACTGGGGATAGATGGACGCAAGCCGCATTGCTCTAATAAGTCGCGACCGTCCCGGCAGCTATGAACTTAGGCGCTCGAAAGCTACCAACGTACAGCCGTGCACGCACCAGGATCTTCGAACGACATGCTATGACTGAAACTTCGTGGCTAACCGTTGTCGAGTAACTAATACGCGAGGCTCACATTGAATCTGGAAGCGCGCAGGAAGAGAAGGAGAAGCAACTCACCGCAGAGAGTATATGCGACGGGAACTTGCCCTACAATTCACGCCTGAGCTGTACAGTTTTCACAGAGTACTGTACTATTTTCACATACTGTACTGCTATGTTTCCTCGTCGTGACGTGACGTGAAAGACGTGTAGTTGCATTGCGTGCTGTCAATCATTGCCTGCCCGTCTGCCCGTCAGCGACAAACAAATGAATGGACTGCGGTGCGCTGCGCAAGCGTGTGGTTGGGTCATTGTGCCATGCGTGATTGATATGCCGCAGGGGACTGACACAGGCAAGTCGCATTCAACTGACCGACTGACACCAGTCACATGCGGTTCCCTTCTACATGACTCGATACAATATTGCTGACAACAGTGACAGTAAACCAGGTCAGGTTGAAGTCCAAAATACATTGGCTGTTTGCGAATTGTGAGTTACCACCTCACAGCTGGTTCTACATGCATTCAATCGGAATCAAGCGAAAGAGCAAAGCGGAGCAGCACTAAATCGAGAATATCGGCTTGTTCCCTGAATCTGGCCTTTCCGATTTCGCGGCAGTCCCAGAGGCGTCTAATTTCGACTTACCTTGGGATTGCCTTCGTCATTTCCAGGTGCTCAACGCTCATAGCTTGTTGAAATCATTATGATTCCGTTGCGCTTGTCGTACAAGCACTGAGCTTCTGACCTGCGAAAGCTGCCAGTAAACTGTTTTTTCTAGGCTGCCTATTGGAGCCTCCCGTCGCACTACAGGCCAATCGTCCAGCGTCGTTGGTATAATTGCAATGGCGTTTATGGGAGCAGGACGCGACTGGTGCAGAGTATGTAGATGGCACGAGGTTTCACACGATCAACCAACCACGGGACACGTACGCTTCAGGCTCTCCGTCCGAACACCATGCTCGTGCTGGTCGCACTGCATCGTACTGACTGAACGAGAGCTCGGCGTGTCAAGATGCAGCTCATTCGGCGGCTGCTTTTAGTATCACACCATTTACGTTGCATTGCATGTTGGTTGGAACCGCTGCTACTGCACTGCATCCTGCTGTGCCCAGTCTACATGCATACGGTATTCGAAGTTGGGACCTCAGCTACTGTAGAACTCTATGCTGCTCGGATCGAACGATAAATTACAGTACAGTACCCCTTTTCGATGGTGAACCCGTACCGTGAAGTGCGATGCGATCTGTCGCTGGGCGTGGGGAACGCAAGCAGCCACTGGCTGGCAGCCAGCTACAGTAGCGTTTCACCCCAAGGAGCCCGTGGTTTCCGGAAACCAGGGTGAAGCGAAGAGGTTTCCGTGGTTCGCGAAAACCCCTTCACCCTGGCCTCTTCTCCCATTCTCCTCCCGTCTATCATCCTTCTTTGGAATCTTCCATCACGCACCGTCATCATCATCATCATCATCATGATCGCGAATCGCCCGAGTGCAACCCTCCCCCTCATCTTCGCTCCAAGTTATGAAACACGCCGCTTTGCGCATTCAGCCAGGTTCTTACTCTTACTCCCCACCGCCACAACAGTACAACAGCATCGCTTTCGAGAAATTTAGATACAGAATATTTATTGTACTGTAGCGCTCCAGTCTTGCCGGCTTCTAGAGCATGACCGTGCGGCGTTGCAGCCTTGCCCCGCTCCGCTCCCAGCTGCTTCTCGCTCTCCCGATCCCTCCCTCCCCCATACCCTACTCCTCCCGAAACATACCTCCACCTCCCCCCCTCCCTTCCTCTCGCCGCTGCTGCTCCTGCACTCGACGAGTGTTAACACGTGAAGTCTCAAAACGTGATGCAGACGGTCTGAGACGTCTCAAAACGCGACGCAGAGTTTCCTCTGAGCCACATTTCCCGTCTTCTCCCGTCTTCTCCCGTCTTCTCCCGTCTTCTCCCGTCTTCTCCTGGTCATTAGACAGCGGGCCTTCGCTCTCCCGTTCCTTTCCCCTCGTCGCGTCCATTCAGTGCTTTCTACCTCGAGAACACCTCGTTCTCTCCGTTGTCCGTTAGAGACGGCCCCTGTATAAGATAATCCACGCCGCGCCGCCATATGCGAGCTGCTTGTATCAATCAAAACCCTGCCACCCTCAACCCTCACTACCTCCCTGTCAAGCCTCAAATGTTGCCAGCTGCAATGCCAGGTCGGTGATTCCGTACCACCTATTAAGCAGCAGCCCTGCGCACTTGCGAAGAATATCGAAGCCTCTCACATCTGAGCCGCACAGCCACGCGCTCCTAGTTGCCTTTGGAAGCCATGGCGGCTCCATTTCATCGATCCTACTCCGACGAGAATCGCATCGTCTCGCCGACCACTGCACCGCTGACACGTGGATCATCAGTAGGAGGAGCAGTGGGAGGAGCAGGAGCATCGGTCCCAGCAGGCGCCGTTGCACCAGTGCGTGTGGCTCACGGTCCTATCTATCCCGCTCCGGGCGGGTATGCTACTAACGGGGATGGGAACTCTGGGGGCTCGCGGGGGTCTCTGGGGAGCGGAGGCGGCAGCGCCCAGGTGCTTTCAAGATCCAATAGCGGGACAGTTAATAACGCGGATGCAGTCGGTAATGCTAGTAACGGAGGGTCGGGGAGCGGGAGGAGGATAAGGCGTGGGGAGAGCGGGGAGGGGAGCGGGAAGCACTGGTCCGGTACAAGCAGCAGCGCCCTCTCTGCTTATAACGAAACGCCTCGCGCCTGGGGGAGCCACGTGTCCGGCGCTGGTGACAATAGCGGGGGCGCGATTCTCGAGCTAGGTGACTATAACGACCAGATCCCCCCATCCCCGTACCCAGACCCTATCAAGGAAGAGGAAGCTTCCGTGGAAGGCAGGAATGTGCCTATGCCGGATGTGACTCTAGAGGAGGAGCTGTCAGAGTCACTAATGCCGCTCAAGTGGGTGTTCTTCCCGGAAGCAGACCCCGTTCAGCAGTTTCGCGGAAAGCCGTGGCGCGAGAAGATCTGGGTGTTTCTCAAGGGCGTGTTCCCCATCCTCGCGTGGCTGCCTGAGTACGACTGGCGGTACTACCTTCTGGGTGACATTATCGGGGGCGTGTCAATCGCCATCATGTCCGTGCCCCAGGTGAGCAATGGGAGATGGGAGGTGGGTTGTGAGGGCTGGGTGGCGGGCAGGGAGTGGCGAGTGTCCATCGCTATCATCTCCGTCCCCCAGGTGAGCCGTGATCAATGGGAGCTCGGTTTTGAGCGGCGGGGGGTGGGCTGTGAGCGGTGGGTGGCGGGCTGTGAGCGGTGGGTGGCGGGTTAGGTGCCACCCACCGCTCAAAATGGGAGCATGGGGTTTGAGCGTTGCGTTGCTGCATTGCGGTACGGTGGTTTGTTGTGGTGTGTGCTGGGGCACCTCGTTGTGCGCTAGAACCAGCATTCATCTTCGCCCCACCCGTGCTCTCTCCTTGCCCCTCCTTGCCTCTCACGCCTGCTTTCGTATCTCCTCCCCGACTCCTTCCCCCTCCCCCCTCCCTCTCTCGCCCTCTCAGGACGTCTCATACGCCAAGTACGCCAACCTCCCTGCCGAGTTCGCTCTCCGTGAGTATCTCTCCTTCTCTTCCCCCTCCCTCCCTCCCCATCCTCGCCCTCCCTACTCATCGCCATTCTCCTCCACTGATGTGTAGTCCAAACGCTTCACGGGTAAATCTGAGTTGATTTTGAGAAATTTTAAAAGCGCTCCACGTTTCGCATGCCATGGTCACTCCGGGCTCGAGTGATACTGCTGTTGTTTAATCCCCTTCATTGTGCATCACTTGTTCCCTCCCATGATCCTCCTCGCACCAGCTACGGCCCCCCTCTGCTGTACGCGCTACAGAGCGCCGCTTCCAAACACCTGCTGATCTGATCCCCTCCAGCTCAAATGACTCTCAGCTGCTTGGCATCTGCCTCAGCACTCTTGTCCACCCCTCTCCCCTCCTCCCTCATCCCTCCTCCTCCCCCCAACAACAGGCACCAGTTTCATCCCGCCGCTCCTCTACGCCATACAGGGCTCCTCCAAGCACCTCGTCATAGCGCCCGTGTCAGTCGTCTCTCAGCTGCTCGGCACGTCCCTGAGTGCAATAGTCGACCCCACCACCGACCCGGCGCTCTACACGAGCCTTGCCGTCACCGCCACCTTCTTCTGCGGCCTCTTTCAACTCATCATGGGGCTCTGCCGGTAAATGATGGGGCTGGTTATTGTGCTGGGCTTGTGAGTGTGACTGGGCATGTTCAGCTGCTCGGCACCTCCCTGAGCGCATTGGTTGACCCCACCACGACAGACCCGGCGCTCTACACAAGCCTTGCCGTCACTGCCACTTTCTTCTGCGGCCTCTTCCAACTTACCATGGGGCTCTGCCGGTGAGAAGATGGGAGGGCTGGTGAGTGTCAGTGTGCTGTCGGATCGTCAGTGCGACTAGGCTTATGCGTCTGCTCCCATCACGGCCCTGAGCGCTCTACACGAGCCTTGCCGTCACTGCCACTTTCTTCTGCGGCCCCTTCCAACTCATCATGGGGCTCTGCCGGTGAGTGGATGGGCGTGTGAGTGTCAGTCAGCGTGTTGGGCCTGTGAGTGTGTCGGGGTCATGGGGGCGACTGTGCGTGTGCTTCTGCTCACCACGGCGCTGTGTGCCCCGGTCAGGTCAACCCCACCACCAACCCTCACCTTGCCTTTCCCCCACCTTTTTCGAACGCCTGCCTTTCTCTCCCCCCCTCCCTCTCATCTGGTGGATTTTCTGAACCAGCCAACCATTGTGGGGTTCCTGTCGTGCTGCTCGTTCACCATCGCCATCCAGCAGCTGAAGCTCATCTCTCTCAAACGGTGCTGTGCGGTGCTTCTCGGTGCTGTGCAGTGCCCTCTCACCATCACCATCCAGCAACTGAAGCTCACATCTCTCTGCCTATCTTCGCTCCTACCTCTCTCCCCTCCTCCCTCTCATCAGGTTCGGCTTCCTGGTGGATTTTCTGAACCAGCCGACCATCGTGGGGTTCCTGTCAGGCTGCTCCCTCACCATCGCCATCCAGCAGCTGAAGCTCATCCTGGGGTACAAGGACTTCACGCTCAGCACCAGCATCGTCAACATTATTGCAGCCATCGTGCAGTACAGCTACGAGGTGGGTGCGGTGCTGTGCGGTGCGGTGCGGTGCAGTACGGTGCTGTTGGCTGACCATCGCCATCCAGCAGCTTTAGCTCATCCTGGGGTACAAGGACTTCACGCTCAGAACCAGCATCGTCAACATCATCGCTGCCATCGTGCAATACAGCTATGAGGTAGGTGCGGTGCGGTGCGGTGCGGTGCCGTGAGGTGCTGTGCGGTGCTGTGAGGTGCTGTGAGGTGCTGTGCGGTGTGCGTTCACCAATGCACTGCAGCAGCAGCTGAAGCTCATCCTGGGGTACAATGACTTTACACTCAGCACTAGCATCGTCAACATTATTGCCGCTATTGTGCAATACAGCTACCAGGTGGGTGCAGTGCGGTGGTGCTCGGTGCTGTGCAATGTGCGATCGCATCGTCAACATCATTGCTGCCATCGTGCAGTACAGCTACGAGGTGGGTGCGGTGCGGTGCTGTGCGGTGCTGTGAGGTGCTGTGAGGTGCTGTGTGGTGCTGTGCGGTGTGCGTTCACCATTGCACTGCAGGAGCAGCTGAAGCTCATCCTGGGGTACAAGGACTTCACTCTCAGCACCAGCATTGTCAACATCATCTCTCCCATTGCCATCCTGCCTCTCCCCTGTCTCTACTCTGCCTCTCCCCCGCCTCTCCCCCGCCTCAAACTCACACCAGTGTTTCCCGTTCCCATTGTCCCCATGCCTGCAGTTCCAGTGGAAGGCGTTCGTCATGGGCGTGTCCTTCTTCCTCTACCTCTCCACAGTGCGCTTGCTGGTACGCACCTCCTGCCCCCCCACCCTCCCCCTTTCCCTCCCGCTTCCCCCTTCCCCATTTAACTCTCCTGTAAACCTTGGGCTCACGTAGAAACACTGTCATGGGCGTGTCCTTCCTCTTGCTCTTCATCGTGCGCCTGCTGGTACGCCCACCCCGTCCCTTGACTTGACCCCCTCTCGCCGAGACAAGTGACGCAACATAGGAACACTGCCATGGGCATGTCCTTCCTCTTCCTCTTCATCGTGCGCCTGCTGGTTCTGAGACGTCTCAAAACATCTCGCCCCCAATCGCTGGGAGAATTGAGGTGACATAGTCACAACGTCAGGTCATGGACATGTCCTTCCTCTTCCCCTTCATCGTGCGCCTGCTGGTACGCCCATCTCGCCCCTCTCGTTGGAAGAATTGAGGTGACATGGTCACATTTTCAGGTCATGGACATGTCCTTCCTCCTGTCGTTCTGCAACCACAACACAACACACCCCTCCCACAGGTGTATCTGAAGCCCAAGAACTAGGTCTTTCAATACCTGAACGCGCTCTCCTATGCTGTCCTCTCCTCCTTCAACTCCCCACACCCCCCCCCCCCACAGGTGTATCTGAAGCCCAAGAACAAGGTCTTCCAATGCCTGAACGAGCTCGGCCCGCTCACATCCATCCTGCACTCGGCTTGGCCCCTTGGAGGATGTGTCTCAGTCTCACCCCTCCACCCCATCATCCAACCACCCACCCCTCCCACAGGTGTATCTGAAGCCCAAGAACAAGGTGTTTTACTACCTCAACGCGCTCGACCCCCTCTTCACTCACATTCACCACCCTCAACGCCCGCTCCTCCACCATCCACCCCAACTCACCACAGGTGTATCTGAAGCCCAAGAACAAGGTGTTTTACTACCTCAACGCGCTCGGCCCGCTCACGTCCATCGTCGTCTCAACCATCATAGTGGCCACTGCAGGGCTGGCAGACAAAGGCATTCCCACTGTGAGTGAGCTTTCTCTTTGCTTGCTCCCGTATCCTAGGGTAGAGCGCTCACTTCCATCCTCATCTCAACCATCATTGTGGCCACTGCAGGGCTGGCGGACAAAGGCATTCCCACGGTGAGTCCTTACTGTGCTCGCTGTCCTTGGCCCTCGCGTATGACCGACCATGCTTCGAGGAGTCCACATCTCCTGTGCAACCATCAGCATGTCAGCAGCAGGGATCAGCGACAAAGGCATCCCCACTGTGAGTCATCACAGCGTTCCCTCCCTTAGGCCCCAGGGTGTGAGTGAGAGCGCTACCGTGACCGTGTGTGGTTGGAGTATCCCAGATTTCCTATCCTGTGCAACCATCATCATGTCAGCAGCAGGGACGTCCCCACTGTGAGTCATCACAGCGTTCCCTCCTCGCTGCCACTCTGCAGCGAGCAGCAGCACACCAGCCGTTGCCGTGCTTTGAGGTCAACGTGCTTTGAGCTGCATGGGGCATCTTCCATCTCTTACTACAACTTCTCTCAACTTCTCCCACCACCTTCTCTCAACTTTCTCCCATCACCTTCTCTCATCTCTCTCCATTCACCTCGTTTCTCTCCCCTGTCCAGATAGGAAAGATATCCACGGGGCTGCACGGAGCCTCCTCCATTTCTTACCTCAACTTCTCAAAAGATAACGTCGCTGACGTGGCCGCTGTCGGCTTCATCGCCTGCCTTGTCTCCCTTGCGGTGAGCTTCCACTCCAGCATCTGTCTCAGTGCCCCTCTCCGCCCACCTCTCATAACTCATCTCGAGCCCCCCCTCATATCTTACCTCAACTTCTCCCATCAACACGTTGCTGACGTGGCCACTGTCGGCTTCATCGCCTGCCTTTTCTCCCTTGCGGTGAGCCTTGAGCGCCCTCTCAGCACCCAGTGCCTTTTGAATTCAGCGCAAGGCGCCCGAAGGGGCATCTTTTGCGCTAATTTTTGGGGCACCTGGAGAGGATTCAGAGGCGCTAAAAAATAATAATAATAAAAAACCTGAAGAGGCATCTTACGAGGCGATTTCTGGGACATGTGAGGGGCACCCCGTGTGTAACCTGGATCAGAATCAAGTGTTCAACACATCTGCCTCCCTTTGTGCGTCCCCTTGTGCAGGAATCAGTGGGTATCGCCCGTACCTTTGCGAGCCTGTATGGTTACCACCTCGACGGCAACAAAGAGGTGAGCTGGTTACCACGTGAATGTAACCAAGAGAAAAAAGTGGGATTTTCAATCCAGAATTTCTTCCTTTCTGTCTTCCCGTTAGTCAATTCTTTCCTTCCTGCTACCTGATGCATTCCGAGCCCACTTACTCCACATGCCCTGCATGCGTCAAGAGAAACTGATGAAGGCTCGACAGGGATGTTCTAGGCTCTGCTTACTCCTCATGCCCTGCATGCCGCATCTTGTTTCCACAAACGCGGCTCCTACAATCTCCTCTGCTTGACCCATCCCCCCAACCTCCCTCCCGTCCCCACACTCTCCCTCCCTTGCGTTTCAGATGGTGGCGTTCGGTTCAATGAATCTGGTCGGCTCCTTCACCTCATGCTACGTGGCAGCAGGTGAGGCAGAACGGTGACCTGAAAAGGAGTGCAGTGCAGTGCGCTGTGGTGTGGTGTAGTACAGTGTGGTCCGGTGCAGAGAGGGGATGCATCAAGGCTGCAGTGTAACAAGCAGGCGCCTGTGCACTGCTCCCTGCCTCCCTTTTTCCTCTGTGTGTATCAGCCAACCGAAACTGCCACTCCGCCACCCAATTCCTCCCTCCCCCCTCCCTTCCCTTCCACACCATTCTTCCTTCCCCACACACCTTTCCCTTTGTCTCTTTCCAGGCTCCATCTCCAACACGGCCGTCACCATTCTTGTAGGCGCTACGACAGCGCTCATGCAAGACACAACCTTTATGGTCCCCCCAGCTCCTCTGCTCCCGCACGGCAGTCAACATGCTAGCAGGCGCCAAGACAGCGCTCACACAAGTCATCATGGCGCTGCTCGTGTTGCTCGTGCTGCTTATCGCTCCCTCCTTCCACACACCATTTCCCCTTTCCCCCACCACCAGGTTCCTTCTCCCGCACGGCAGTCAACATGCTAGCAGGCGCCAAGACAGTGCTCACACAAGTCATCATGGCGCTCCTCATTCTGCTAGTGCTGCTCGTCGCCGCCCCGCTCTTCAAAAACGTCCCCAATGTGCGTGATTTGAATGGCTTTGCTTGACTGAACGCCTTTCGTGTTGTCATCCTCCTCATTCCACCTCTTGGTAGCAGTCCAGAATTTCTGTCAAATCATCTCTTCTCTCCGTTCTTCCCTTTTCTGACCCCTCTGACAATGATAGCGCGCACCTGCTAGACTCGTCACTTCAACTCCTCTTTCCTCCCAAACACCCCCCCTCCCTTCCCCTCTCTTCCCCCCACATACCCCATGTGTCCCATTGGCCCCCCGCTCTGCAGTGTGTGGTGGGTGCAGTCATTGCCAACGCTGCCTTGAACCTGGTAAGGCCGCAACCCCTCCTTAACTCCCATGTTTCCAAGGCCGCACCCCCACCTAAATAACGTGCCTCTCTGCAGTGTGTGGTGGGTGCAGTCATCGCCAACGCTGCCTTGAACCTGGTAAGGCCGCACCCCCTCCTTAACTCCCATGTTTCCGAGGCACCTAAATAACTTGCCTCTCTGCAGTGCGTGGTTGGTGCAGTCATCGCCAACGCTGCCTTGAACCTCGTAGCTCTCTCCACGTCCCGTTCTCCCCATCCCACTCTCCCCATCCCACTCTCACTCACCCTCTCAGTCCCCTTCATAATCGCGTCCTCTCTCTGTGTCTCTCGAACCTGCCCCAAACCCACCTTCCTCTTCCTGCTTCGCCCCCCAAATCCACTCGCTCTGGGCTGGGCCTCTCATTCCTTCAATCTTCAACCCCCCCCCCCTTTCTCCCACCCCGCTTTCCCATCTTGATTTCCATGCAGCGTGGGCCCTGTGAAGGGTGGACAAGATGGACTTCCTGGTCATGTCCGGTTGCTTCCTCACTCCATTCCCTTCTTTTTCCCCTCTTCCCCATCTTCCCCTTCCCCCCCATCCTCCCCTCAATACCAGCTCGACTTCCATGCAGCGTGGGCCCTGTGGAGAGTCGACAAGATGGATTTCCTCGTCATGTCGTGCTGCTTCCTCGTTCAATTCCCTCCTTGTTCCCTCCTTTCCCATGCGCGCTCCCCTTCCCTGCTCTAACAGCTCGACTTCCATGCAGCGTGGGCCCTGTGGAGGGTAGACAAGATGGACTTCCTCATCATGTCCGGTTGCTTCCTCGCCATCCTCTTCTCTCATTCTCTCCACTATCCCCTGCTCCCCCTATCCTCCCCTCAATACCAGCTCGACTTCCATGCAGCGTGGGCCCTCTGGAAAGTGGATAAGATGGATTTCCTGGTCATGTCGGGTTGCTTCCTCGCCATCCTTTTCGGTTCCCCCGAGATCGGCCTTCTAGTCGCCATCCTGCTCTCCATCATCAAAATCCTCCTCCGCTCCCTCCGCCCGCACATCCGCCTGCTGGGCCTCCTCCCCAACGCCGCCGCTACAGCCGTGAGCGTGCTGCAGTTCCCCAACAGCACGCTGTGTGAGGGGATCGTGATGCTGAGGGTGGAGAGCCCGCTGTACTTCCCCGGAGCTAACTTTGTGAGGCAGCGCGTGAAGAAGCTGTGTGACGCTTATGCACGGGGTTACCAGCAACCAGTCAAGGTGAGTGATTCTCACTGATTTTGCCTCAGTCCCGAAGGTGCTGCAATCCCCTCAGAGTGAGCGTCCTACATCTCCCCCCTCTACCACACAAAAATGGTTGAGGCTGTTGCTAGCTTTGTGCGGCAGCGAGTGAACAAGCTGTGTGACGCTTACGCGAGGGGATACCAGCAGCCAGTCAAGGTGAGCAATTTCAGTGAGGAAGACCAATGAGTGAGCGAGCTGCAGTGGGGTGAATGTTGCCGTCCATGTGACGGCCACTGAGTCCATTGAGGGACCTGCAATGCCCAATTTCGCCTCCCCCATTCCCTCGCACCCCCTTCGCTTGTCCCCTGCAGCACTGCTTGTTGGACCTATCAGTCATGCATGACATCGATGTGACAGCCATTGAATCCATGAGGGATCATTAATACCCAACCCCACCTCTACGACCCCTGATTGCCCATCCTCACCTCCACCACTTCTGACCTATCCCCCCTCCCCTCTCTCCTCGCAGCACTGTGTGTTGGATCTATCAGTCATGCATGACATCGATGTGACGGCCATTGGCCCCATGAGGGGACATCGATCAAGACACGATTCAACCTTTCCATAACCTATCCCCTCGCCCCTCTTCCCCCCTGCAGCACTGCGTGTTGGATCTATCAGTGATGCATGACATCGATGTGACGGCCATCGAGGCCATGAGGGACCTGCACCGCGACCTCACACAGATGGGCATCCAGGTAAGCTGACCTGGCTTCCAAATGGTTTGACCTGGCATCCAGGTGGGCTGAGCTGGCATCCAAGTGGGCTGACCTGGCTTTCAGTTGAGCTCTCATGGCATTCAGAAATCTGCCATAGAGTCGAATTTCAGTCCCGAACCCGTTCCGTTCTTTCTCCTCACCTCCCACTCCCTGCATCCCACCCATTTCCCTCTGCTATTCCTCGGCAGCTCTGCTTGGCGAGTGCCAACAGGGATGTCCTGCGCAAGATGTTTGACGCGCAGCTGTTAGCAGAGATAGGCGAGCAGTGGCTCTTCGTCACTCCTGCCGATGCCGTCAAGCTGTGCCGTGCCGTGGCACTCTCTCAGCCAGCTGCCAAGGAGACAGAGGAGCTGCTCAACACTGTGCCCTCGTTTGACATCTAGAGGGGTGGGGGGGGCGAGGGGGGGGGTATAATGCTGTAACCTCTGCCGTGCCGTGCCGTGGCGCTCTCCCAACCTGCTGCCAAGGAGACAGAGGAGCTGTTGAACACTGTGCCGTCGTTTGATATCTAGAGGGATGGGGGATGGTGAGAGGGGCCCACAATGCTGTAACCTCTGCCGTGCTGTGGCACTCTCTCAGCCTGCTGCTAGGGAGACAGAGGAGCTGCTGAACACTGTGCCATCGTTTGATATCTAGAGGAGCTGGAGGCTTGGCTTGGCTTGGCTTGGTTGGCTTGGCTCGGGGAATGTGCTGTGCCGTGGCGCTATCCCAGCCTGCTGCCAAGTAGAGTGAGGAGCTGTTAAATGGAGTCCAGAATTTTGATATCTAGGGGGGATGGGAGGGGGCATAATCCTGGAAGCTCGGTTGTGCGGTGGTGCTCTTTCAGCCTGCAGCACAAGGAGAGTGAGGAGCTGTTGAATGGATTAGATTCCTTATATCTAGGAGTATGGGGGCGGTCAATAATGGTGGAAGCTCGGCCGCGCTGTGGCGATATCCCAGCCTGCTCCCAAGAATAGTGAGCGGAGTGCTGGCCTTTTATATATGTAGGCGTATGGGAGAGGTGTTGAGCACAGTGCTGTAAGCTATTATGCACCGTTGCACTGTATTGTACCGACTGCCTGCAAAGGAGAGGGAGGAGAGGAGCTGAGAGGGAGGAGAGGAGCTGCGGACTGGCGTGCAGAGTGGTTTAAAACCTGAGTCCCAAACAGCCCAAAAGTGCCTCAACTTTCCTAACTTTGATGTCGCCCAAAAACGGGCGAACATATTTTCACAATTTCGGGAACCCAGCTTCTCGCCATCCAATTGTAATCTTCTTCCCAACCAACCTTCCTAACTCTGATATTCTTGGACCCCGGGTTTTAAGTCCATGTCATTGGGTGTCATTCTGTTGGAAGTGATGCAGCAAGTAAAGTTATGGTGGAAGGGTTGTGGGTAATTGACTGGGGGGTCTAATGCTCTGCGAGATTATGAGAAGGTTTAGCATAGACCTACAAGGTGGTAGACAAATTCGTCTGCAAGTGAATAACTCTTTAATATTTCCTACAAACAGCTGTACAAAACGATACATATAGGCTACAGGCTTCACGATTCGACACTATAAGTAAACCACCGCTTTCACTCCCCATCTCCACGTCTTACGAATCAGCAGCGTGCGCACGCCCCCGTGCCGTAAAGCTAGATAACTTGCCAGATAAAGATATTGGTATTTATTTATCAAGCGGCTTCAGGTCGGACGCGATGGGGAGAACCACGGGCTTGCCGTCGTCCCCCTCCACCTCCACCCCGCGCGTGTACGTCAAAAGCGGGTCGAGCGCGCTTGTGCTGAACGGATCGCGCGGCACGCCCGCGCCCGCATTAGGCGGCGCCTTGGAAATATCCGGCGGGTTATTGATAACCACCCAGCCGCCCAGAAGGCCTCCTAGAAGGAGAAACGTGATTCCCGCGAGGAACGGGAAGCGGATCGCGAGGGGGTCGATTCCGAGTTGACCGAACACGCCCTTGCCTGTGAGGACTTCCATGGTAAGCGCGCTCGCGAAACCGACCATCGCGAGGCGACCGACGCTGAGCTCCTGCAGCTGCCCGAACCCGAACCACGTTCCCGGGCCTCCGAGCCCGAACCCGGGGCTGGCGGGAGGTGCGGGAGAGGTGGCGGGCTCGGGAGTGGAGGGGGTTGAGGAGTCCGCGCGGATTTCTAGGCGCGTGGGAGCGATTCGGTTGGTAGTCGTGGAGAGGGATGAGGAGCCTCTGTGTGCTGGGAGACGCACGGCGACGAGGGACGGGTTGGTGAGAGCGCGGCGATGGGTAGCCTGAAGGCTGCGCGCTCGTAGTGTTGCGGAGCTAGCTGCAGCAGAGGTAGAAACTGCGAGGGTAGCCATGGCTGAGAGTGTCGCGGTGAGTGTACAGAGGTGGATGGAGTAGGCTGGTGGCGTTGCGTGTTATTAGATCGCAATTAGTGCAGAAGGACACAGACTGCGTCGAATATGGGGAAATGCTGAGGATAGAACTGCTGAAAGCTGTGAAAAGATGGTTTGAGATTGGGATGGGAGGGAGGGAATTTATGTGTTGTGGGAGCAGCAAGCGGCTCGCTGGTGCTGGGTGCTAATGAATTTCGTCCGAGACGCGTGTCGGTCTGCCTACGTGCCACTTGAAAAAGCGTGGAGTCACGAAGGTCAAATGCTGAGGTGGCTGCTTGGCCACGCCTCGTGTACCATGTGGAGCGGGGAGAGCGAGACACGCCGCATGTTGGATGTGTCTGGTGAGCTGAACTACACGTTGGCAAATGCTTCGGTTCGGTTCGGACTCCGAAGTTCCCAGAGTCAGTCCCCGTTTCAGGCCAGGTTTCAGGGCGTGGGGGACGTTCATAGGTCAAGCCAGAATTATCTAGAACCTACATCACCAATAAACCATATCTGTTCTCACGGCTTACAGATTACGTAAGTAGCAATTTCCCTCACTCTGCCTACACAAATTTCCAGAGAACGTACGCATCCGAAAAAATGTGTGGATTGGTGCTGACATCCTCAAGATGCCATAACAATTGATGAATTTCTAGGTGTTTAATGTCAAATGTTGTAGTCTTAGTGATGTGTATTATAGGGGGTACAACTATTAGGGTTAGGTTTATGTACCCCAACCAACCTTAGTCAAACAAACACTTTCATTCTTGACATGGAATCAGCTAGGTTAGGATCCTGTGGGATCCCGTTCCTCTCGTTCACGTCCGTAGCGCCCGAGCCTGTCCCCTAGTGCCCGTTACGCCCGTACGGTCCCCTAGCGCCTATCGCGCTCGTCTCTCTCGTGCCCTAGCGCCCGCTGCGCTTGCCGTCGCGTCGCCCCTGCTGTCCCGTCCCGTCCTGTCGCCCCTGCTGTCCCGTCCCGTCCCGTCGCCCCTGCTGTCCCGTCGCGTTGCCCCTGCTGTCCCTGTCTGAAATGCTAGGCAGGAATGAATGCACTAGGAAAGTGTTGGGTACAAGTATGAAACCCTAAATAGGGCTGTACCCCATATTGGCTACCCCACTACAGCCTAAACATATATAGCATACATATAATTTGACACACCCCCATAGGCAAAGTGGGGGAGAACAATGGGTCACAAGACCAGTCAAGAGAAGCAAAGCAAGCTCAGGGTGGATCACAACGTCACCACACACACTGAGCACAAGCAAAGGGGCCACAAGGCCAGTTCACATGCAGAGGTATATATGCAACAACAACAGCACAGTGATCTCTACCTAGCAGAGCAAGCATGCAGGTATATATAAAGATCACAGTACAAGTGAAGTCTACAACAAGTGAGGAAACGTGGGCACAAGGCCTAACAAAGTACAAAAACGCTGATGATCACCAGACGGAAGTGCCTTGGTGAATATATCAGCAGTGTTGGCCCGAGTGGCCACGTGAGCAAGACGAAGCTGACCACGCTGCTGCAACTCTCGAGCAAGGAAGTAACGCAGAGCGATGTGCTTCGTTCTGTGCTCCAGTCTGTGCTCCTGACACAAGGCAATGGCGGCCTTGTTGTCTACGTACAGAACTGGAGGAGAACGAGGCCGCTCTCCCAGGTCGGTCAGTAGGTAGGTGAGCCAGCGTAACTCCTGTGCAGCCATGGCTGTGGCGTAGATCTCAGCCTCACAACTGGAGCTGAGAACAGAAGACGAGCGTGTAGACCGCCAAGAGACAGAGCCAGAGCCAAGACTGAAGGTGTAACCCTGTGACGACCGCTGCGTAGCCAGGTCGTCAACCCAAGAAGCGTCCGAGTGCCCGGTGAGGACAACGTCGCCCCGTCCTCCAAGCACGAGCCCCATGCCCGATGTACTGCACAAGTAGCGCAGTACCCTCTTCGCAGCATCCATGTGCACCTTTCGGTGCCTACCAGGAGCCACGTAGCGAGCCAGAAGGCCAAGAGGGTACGCAAGGTCAGGACGAGTGCAGGTCATCAGGTACATGAGGCAGCCCACTAGCTCTGGGTAAGGACCACTCGGCTCTACGGACTCGTCCGAAGGTGGAGCTGAGAGCGAGTGACCTGTAGCCAGAGGAGTGGCCTGTGCCGAGGACCAGGTGAAGCCGAAGCGCTGAAGGACCTGCTGCACCATGTGTGACTGAGTCAGTGTGATGGTGAGGCGTGCTCTGTCCCGGGTGATCTGCAAGCCAAGGTAACTGCGTAGCTCACCCAGGTCTGTGCACGTGTGTCTCTTCTGCAGCTATGACTTCACCAGGGCGAGAGCCTCAGTGTCAGCAGTGGCAAAGACCAAGTCGTCGACGTACACGAGGATGTAGAACGGCGGCAGCGAAGTGTCGGTGCGTAGAAACAGCGACGGGTCAGCAGTGGAAGGAGCAAACCCAAGAGCCGCAAGTGTCGTCCTCAGTGTGTCGTGCCACTCACGTGGCGCCTGGCGGAGACCGTAGACTGGCCGCCGGAGGCTCCACTGGGTACCAGGGGGGAACGACCCAGTGAATCCAGGTGGGCGGCGCAGCCAGATCTCCTCGTGCAGGCTGCCCTGTAAGAAAGCTGTGCTGAAGTGAAGAGAGTGAAGCTCGTAGTCACGCTGAGCGGCAACGTGCAGCAGCACCCGAAGAGTGGTCATCTTCGGGGTGGGGGAGAAGGTCTGGAAGAAGTCAACTCCCTCCCGCTGACTGAAGCCTCGAGCAACGTAACGAGCCTTGAAGACAGGCGGAGAACCCGGCGGCCGCTTCACCCTGAAAATCCACATGCCACTGACGATGTTCGCCCCAGGAGGGGGAACCTCGTCAACGTAAGTGCTTGTGGACTTCCAGGATGCCATCTCTGCGTCCATGGCTGTCTGCCACTGAGAGGAGTACTCACCCGCGATCGCCTCAGCGTAAGAGCGCGGGGTCGGGATGTCTGGAGCATCCGGGTCTCCCTCAGGGGCAAGCAGCATGGCCATGAGATGAGGCGCAGCGGCTACAAGACACTCAAGGTCCTCCT